ACCTTGCTAACTAAATCTTGCTTTGTCATGATAGTTTCTCGGAGTCTAATGGTAAGACATACTTAGCTTTCTTCTACTGTAAAATGGGATTTTTGTCGAGTGAGGAGCACAGTTTAGTAGGATTCCTCGATCTCTAAGCTGGTAGACATTAATTTCTCTATGTTAGAAAAGTCAAAAACAGTGATGTCAGTTCAAACACGTTTTGAAATAAAATATACACATACACACACACACACATACATATATATATATATATATATATATATATATATATATATATATATATATATATATAGTAACTGTCTTCTCGTATCGAGGATAGCCGTCTACTAGGGCGACTAGCTAATCCTCGTTGCAGACGCCTGCTCAGGCACATCTGTGTTAAACACCCACAGACCCCACCTGTGATTTATACTGTAACTATGCTAAGCGAACCTTTGTTACACTTTCTAGGAGATATTATGTTTTCTTGCGTGATCAAAGGTCTAAAGTCGGCCCCCACTCTCAACGCATCGGTCACGATGATTTGTGACTTCGAGCTAGTACAACCAGCGACAGCTCTCCAAGAGTTCAAGGACAAGTCTTGGGAAAATGTTTGGTATGGTTTTCAGGCACATTCCAAAAGTGTTGTGATCGCCCAGACCACCAATAACATCAAAACGGTATATATATATATATATAAACAATATATAATATATATATATATATATATATATATATATATATATATATATATATATATATATATATATAAAACAATATATATATATATATGTACATATATATATATATATATATATATATATAAGAAGGAAAGAATATATATATATAATATACACATAAATATATATATATATATATATATATATATATAAGAAGGAAAGAATATATATATATATATATATGTACATATTATATATATATATAAGAAGGAAAAGAATATATATATATATATATACACATATATATATATATATATATATATATATATATATATATATAGAAGGAAATTACATATATATATATAAGTATATATATATAAGAAGGAAAATAATATATATATATATATATATATATATATATATATATATATATATATATATATATATATATATATATATATATATGACTGAGCCAATTGTAGAGGAGACATGAGCGACGACGATGATGGCGCCAGCTGACACCAAACAGATCTGTTTTCTGTCTCGCGAAACAGCGTTGGAGTGTTCATCCTGGGCATTTCTTTCATGTTGTCCACCCAGCGTTTGGACTGTCTCACCCTACATCTACCCACTTTCAAGGTACCATGAAGGTCCGTTTTGGCTAGTGTATTGTGCCGTATGACATGCCCAAACCACAACAGTTTTCTCCTCTTTACTGTAGCCAAGTGGGGCTCCTGGGGCTCTGCTAATTTGTGTTACTTGGCCGTGTACAAAGTCATTTTTCTTGTGTTCTCTACAGAAGATCCAGAGAAGACGTCTGAAGCATTTCGTTTCAAGCGTTTGGAATCTCTTGGTGGTTTCTGTTATCAGAGTTCAGCTTTTACCTCCATGGAGCAGTATGGCAGAACCAGGGACTTGTAGAGCTTCATCTTGGTTTGAAAGCTGATGTTTTTGCTCTTCCAAATCTTACTGAATTTTGCATTGCCAGTGTTTCCAGAGTCAGTTTGGTCTTTATCTTTGTTGCAGAGCGTCCATCTTTGTTGAGGGTAACGCCAAGGTATTTAAAGTCATCCACTTCTTCCAGTTGTTCTTGTTATCTATAAAAAGAACGTATAAACATGTGTGACGTCATTTGTTTACATTTGGATACGTATCGAGCAAATATGAATGTACGAGAGAAAATCATGGAAAATTGTAGCTTAAAAGCAGTAAAATCGACCTTGCTAACCGAAACGCTCCTCTGTGGCTCAATCGGTAAAAGCACGTCAGGCTATATGACGGTTCCGTATAGTATACAGGTTCGAATCCTGTCGGAGGACGCATATTTTCTATGAAAATTTCTTGGACATTCAGGTCGGAAAATATTGTTAATACTGCTTATTATAAACAGAGCATTTATTTAAATAGTTGTGTCTATAAAAAGAATGTATCAGCATAAAAATGTCTTAACATAATTGTCGGACTTTTGTCCATTTTATAATGTATGACGTCATTTGTTTACATTTGGATACGCATCGAGCGGATATGAATGCACGAGAGAAAATCATGGAGAATTGTAGTTTAAAAACAGTAAAGTCGACCTTGATAACCGAAACGCTCCTCTGTAGCTCAATCGGTAAAAGCACGTCAGGCTATATGACGATTCCGTATAGGATACAGGTTCGATTCCTGTCGGAGGACGCATATTATCTATGAAAATTTCTCGGAGATTCAGGCCGGTAAATGTCATTAATACTGTTTATTATAATTATCCTTTGTTGCTAGGACTGGGTTTTTGATTTCTTTCTAAAGTCTTTCCTTTCTCTTTCACTTCCCGTAGCCCCTTGCGTCTTAGTGGCATTGTCGCCTTGTTTCGGGTGAGTTGATTTTAAAAAAATAGGACAACAAAGAGAAAGCTTTATGGAAAATAGAAATAAAAATGTCATTTACAGAAAGAATCAGTTGACAATAGTGCAACACTTAATGAGGAATGAAGGCTTAGAATTGTTGAGCCTTATATAAAGAATATCGAAAACAAGAGGGAAACAGCGAGTAAGATGGGGTGTATCGTAATTAGATATACGTTGTTATGACCTTGATATGATATGAAGTTGTGGAGAGCCGTTATCGTCCACGTCCTGAATGAACACATTACAGTAAAAGAACATAATATAATCTTCTTAAATCTTACTTGACCTTTTTAACAAATTCAGCATAACTTAAATATAATAAATGATAACATAACGATTTGCTAAGCGTAGGTTAGATGTGACACAAGGCCGAAAACATGGAGCACCGATGTTCGAACTCATTATTCAGTAGTAATTGATCTAGTGAGACAAGATTGTTAATCATTAAACCACATCGAAGTTCAAAAAAATTTGTACATGCTTGTGTGTGTATATATATATATACATATGTGTGTGTGTGTGTGTGTGTGTGTGTGTGTGTGTGTGTGTGTCTGTTTTGTGATTTACTTACAAAGATAAGTTTGGTAGAGAATTTGGGGTGGAACAGGGAAGGAGTGGGATATTTCTGTACCAATCTTCCGAGTGTGAAGAGAATTCGACGTTCTGCCTTTTAGATGGACGTGAAAATCGATCAATGCTGCCAGCCGGAAATACGTCGAGATGTTAATCAATAAGTCTGTAGCATGATACGGATTTTATCAGCTGAAGTTTGATCGAAAATATTCACTAAACATGATGTCCGATTTTATTATGTAAGTCTACGTTTTCACAATAAAAGTAGAATTAACCAATCGACGCTGATAAAACGTTAAGAATATATACCGTATTTGCTCGCGTATCATGCGACTTTTGAAGACCTAATTTTGAAGCTAATTTTAAGAGGGTTGCATCATACACGAGATATAAAATTAGCTTACGCTAATTTGGATGGCCAAAGCCGCATTCCAAAAGCTAGGCAGAGTATTACGAGACAGAAGGATTATTTTGGTAACAAAGACACGAGTACTAAGCTGCTACGTGACATCTGTCCTTCTTTATGGCAGTAAATGTTGGAAGCCTTCTCAAAGAGACTCGAGGCAACGGAGGTATTATTCTACAAAAGGATGCTAAGGATATCATGGACTGAGCGTGTGAGCAACGATGAGGTTTTGGAGAGGATGCAAACAACTAGGAAGCTTATACTTAACATCAGGAAGAAGTAGCTCAAATTTCTGGCATACGTAATAAGAAAGGGGGCTTGGAGATTCTGATACTCACAGGTCGAATAGAGGGAAAGAGAGCCAAGGGAAAGCAACGCATGACATACCTGGTGGGATTAAGCAAACGGTTAACAAAACATGGCCTATGGAAAGCAGCAAAGAGCTACAAGGGATAGGGAGAAGTGGAGAGCCATGATCACCTACGTCCTGAAAGGACACGGCACATAAAAAAAATCTGCTTGCTGGCCTATGCTACACTGTTGACCAAACTATATATTCATTTACTATAGTCAAAAAGTACATTTATATTTAAAATAAACTTCGCGCGTTACATTCTTGAAATATATTTATAAAATGAAACGTTAGAGGTCATAAGTGATGTTACCCTGGCTTTATTAAAAAATTCGGGTATTGCAACATCAGATCCGTTCTTCCAGGTAAACTGACCTGTTGATCGGCGGCCTCTCCGCATAATTCTCTCCACGGTGTAATTTTAATAACAATTATTATATCAGGAGGTAGATCTTAATGTTATGATGGCATCAAGATTTTTATTAGCCAATCAGATTTTGTTTTGTCTGCTGTCTACAGGTATAAGGTCAACGGCGTTATTTTCGCGCGCTTTCCAGTTTTGCCTTTCCTGCACATGCGCCAATGTTATGGTAAGTCTGTTTTATATTTCATTAAAGAAAAAGAAATTCAACGCGTCATTAATTGCCGTATTATGTTATATTCTCCTTAACCTACGTCCATGCACATCTAATAACGTGTCAGCCGCTTTTAATGTAAAGAAAAGACATACACGAGTCTATACAGTATTTATTATACTCATTTGAGCATCACCTTTTTATGACTGTCCTTATTAAAAATAAAATATTGATTATAACTTGTTTTGCATACTACCGGGTTTGATTATGCCAAGAAATGATACCTGATATTTTTTTATAAATAAATCCCTAAAATATAGGCCACAGAAAAGGGGTGGCGAAATCGCGGCTCACAAGTCATATGTGGCTCATTAGCCATTAAAATGCGGCTCATACAAATATGTTAACTGTGCTCTTTTCTTCATTACAGTTATTATAAAAGGTAAATAAGAAACATTTCAAGCTTTATAATTATTTACTGGGTATGAAGTGAGACCCCATTGGATTAAAACGCATGTTCAATGTTCGGTTGAACTCTCTGCCTTCGAGCGGGGAGGAACCCGAAGGAGGCTACGCCGAAGGGCGGAATCTCTTTCGGGCAGGTAAACCGACCCTGAACCCGTTTATACGTGTTCAAAGGGCATATTTTTGGCCGAGCCCAGGGGCTCGGAGATCCCACGTTAAACCGGCCTTGTGCCACATGATGCCCTCGTGGGAGGGTGACTAAATACTGTTCCGTCTGAAGTCTAGAGTTCCGTCTGAAGTCTGGAGTTCCGTCTGAAGTCTGGAGTGAAGTCTGTCAGGAGTCTGTCAGTCAGTCAGTCAGTCGAGTCAGAGGCAGTCCAAAACAGAGTCGTGTTCAGACAATTACTCCAAGACATTGGAATAGTGATACTGGTCGAGACTACATTGTCCTCCCTACTAAACCTGATTGTTCGTACTAACACTTTCCACTTCTCTGTATATATTCCTGTTTGTAATATATCTGTGTTATTCCATATCCGCCTTCGAGTTCTTCTTTATTGGTTCTACCTTGGACTATCACCGTGGTACAAGGAACTGGACCATAACAGTTAAGATACACTTCGAACAGATATGAGCGCTCGAGAAAAATCATGTGAAGTTTGTAGTTTACAAGCAGTTATTCGACCTGACCGACCAGGCGCTTCCTTTGTAGTTAAATGGTATAGCACGCCAGGCTATATGACGTTTCCGTGTAGCATACAGGTTCATTTCCTGTCAGAGGACACATATTTTCAATGAAGCTTCTCGGACATTCAGGGTGTAAATGTTGTTAATACTGTTTATTATAAACAGAAGATTTACTTAAATATTTGTATCTATAAAATAGCGTATAAACAATAAATATAATAAAATAATTGTTGTATTTTGTCCATTTCAGTTTTTATTTATAGATATATATATATATATATATATATATATATATATATATGTGTGTGTGTGTGTGTGTGTGTGTGTGTGTTCTATGTATGTAAGCAGCAAATGTTCTTTAAGACAAACGTTTACTGTCGATTAATTTTATTGATTGACTTTTCAAAATTACAATTAATCATTCTCAAATAATGAAAAAATTCCGTCAGAAATTGTTCATTTCAGAAGAAATATACTTAAATATTTAAACTTTCTTAAGTCATCATCAGGGTAGGTAGAGACAAATGGTTGATTTCATAGAACTAATGGGTGTAGTGATGTAGTCAATGGGTGTCACGTGTATGCATGTTTTATATATACATTTGAGGATATGTTCTCTTTACTTAGAATTTTTTTTATTTACAGATATATATATATATATATATATATATATACCCTCCAACCTTTTTCTCAGGGGCAGGATATGGCGAGTCTTTGGACATTTTCATAGTGTGGGCATAGGGTGAAGTTGTCATCTCAGCCATAGCGTTGGCTTTAGTAATGTGGGTTGTAATCCATGTATATGTATATGTCAGACATTTTTGGCGATAATGGCGAGCCCATTGCTAAGCCTTCATCTTGCCGATATACGTCTGATCGCATTCCGAATTATGTTCTTTGTTTACATGATATGTTCCGGAAAGGGATATATTTGTTCGAAGTAGCAAAGTAGTTCTTGACTACCCTAACCGGGTAGGACAATCTAGCAGGCAACCGTAATGGGCTGGTCCACGTCGTAGTGGTAGGCAATAGGCGTAGGCAATAGGCGTTGTCATCAGTCTGTATTTATGGCTGACACCAATCAATCATATTACTCTGAGGGGGAACCCAGGTGTATGCATATTCATTACATCAGTACAGAATGTCAGGATCTCCATCAGGTTATCTACTGTTATAATGGTCCGTTCTCCTAGGGATGTGTCCGAGGCCAATCAGTTCCTGACTACTGATAGTACCTTCTCTGTGGGTACTTTGGTGAACAAACTCATCACGCATAGGCTCACCATCTGGTTGGATTGGATAGGAGCATCTTTGATTATTTCTTCAAAATGGGCAGCGTTTCGACATATGACGCTGACTTTTCTATTAATGGATTAATTATATTTATAAGGAAGCTACTACTGCACCATGTGAACTCAATAAGATCATCGATACAGTTCCCAGTGGAGAGAGAAAACAAAAACAAATTAGTAACTGTGGATGTACTAACATCTTGCACAGAGCATGTGTTCAAGGCATCCGTATACCAAAAGCCAACATTCACCGGACAATACCTCAACTTCAACTCACACCACCCAAACAGTGTAAAGGTGTAAAGGGATCGACCGCTGCTTATAACATCGAGCAAAAGTCATGAGTGGTGACCCAGAGATATTTAAAAGAATGGGTTACTATAAGCGGGGCCCTACAACGTAGCGACTACCCTGGGTAATGACAGCAGCTCCGACAAACTGGGATAAAAGGGTGCAAGAGGATAAAAATCAGAAAATAGCCTCGGTCTGCCTACCCTATGTGAAGGGATTATCAAAAAAAATACAAAAGATCTGTGATACATATAACATCAGGACAACCTTCAAAAGTGGTTCAACACTTCACAACGCCTCTTCCGACTAAGACCTCCAATAGAGGAGAACATGACTAAGAAATGTGTGTACGCCATCCCATGCAGCTGTGATAAGAAGTATAAAGGAAGAACAGATCACCTTCTTAGGATAAGACAACAGGAACACCGTAAAGCCGTAACGTGAGAAGAAATAAAAAAAATCACGTCTGGAAGAAAGAGATCATCCGCTCCTGTGGGATGAGGTTGAAATGATAGACAGAGAACATCACTGAAAAATACAAAAAAAAACTTCAGAAATCAGCACATATGCGAGGCCACAAAAATCTCCTAAAGCGGCCAAACATAGAAATGAATGCAATATGAGAACCAGTAATACAGACTGCCAGAGAAAAAAAAATAATGAAAATAAAATTACAAAAAATTTTACTGAGACATTAAGTTTATAAGTCCCAAAAATTCATACACTGATTTCCACAACGTTGTTTGAATCTAGTGATTTGATCCAAAAATTTGTGAGTTCAATACCTGGCTACAGCTGAGGTGAACAAAACCTTGGAGAGTTGAGTTAAAGGGAGATAACTGATACTGAGACACCCGGAAAAGGCATGGCACATGGAACTAGAATAATCTACCCTGGTGGACGAAATAAAGGGATCAGTTCGAAATTCCAATCACCTGAAGAAGGTCGGAGCGTACAAGTTTTTGAAGAGCTTAAAAATCATGCATTTTTAGTGACCGCTTGCACTATACACAGATAATTTTGTGAAGAGATTAAAAATCCATTTTCGGTGATCGGTTGCACTATACACAGGCAATTTTTTGAAGAAATTAAAAATAATGCATTTTCGGTGATCGCTTGCACTATACACAAGTAAGTTTTTGAAGAGGTTAAAAATCATACATTTTCGATTACTGGTTGCAATATCAACAGCTACATTTTCTGGATGGGTTGAAATAAACGCAAAAAATCAGGGATCGTCCTATACACAAAGTCGGCTTATACACGCGTATATACAATAAAATTTATTTAGTCCAAGACGTGCTATATTTCTTGGGTATTTTTTTTCTGGGGGCATATTACTTTCATTATTATGATTTGAAATTTTGACTCTCGCCTCATTTCGAACACCAGCTTCTTGTACGTTTATTTAGCGTGTCCCTTTACATGTGTTGCTTTCAAAATGTGATTTGTGTTTCTGATTCTCCCGGCCTTTTTTTCTCATAATGTGCCTCAGAAATTCCAACTGTTACTTTTTTATCATAAATATACAATATGCAGTGTAGGCATACTTTTTGCTTCCATTTTCTGTAAAATACCCTCGTTGCTGACATGCTCCAACCATTGTGTCCTCAGCCTTCTTCTGTCGCAGTACATTTTTTAGTTTTCACTATATCCCTAAACCTGAATTCATACTGAGTAAAGGAAATGGTATAAGTTGAGAACGAAAGAGACGGGGAGAGAGAGAGAGAGAGAAAGGAAAGAATTACAGAGTAGAAACGAGAGATAGGAGAGGGAGGTTTTAAACAACAGAAGAGAGGGAGTTAGATATACATGGAAGGAATACAATGAAAGAAAGGGAGAGATCAGAAAGTTGCAGAGAACGAAATATGGATAGAGAAAGATGAAAGAAGAAAGAGAAGGGGAAATGAAATGAGTAAGAGCGAAGGAGAAAATGAGAATGGGTCGCGAATTACAGAAAAACACAGAAATTACCGAAAGAAAAACACTTATAAACAGAAAGATAAAGCTGGCAAGATAGATAGATAGACAGACAGATAGATAGATGTGAACAGACTGAGATAGATAGATAGATAGATAGATAGATAGATAGATAGATAGATAGATAGATGTCAATAGACTGGGATAGATAGATAGATAGATAGATAGATAGATAGATAGATAGATAGATAGATAGATAGATGTGAACTGGCTGAGATAGATAGAAAGATAGATGTGAACAGACTGAGATAGATAGATAGATAGATAGATGGGATAGATAGATAGATAGATAGATAGATAGATGTCAATAGACTGGGATAGATAGATATAGATAGATAGATAGATAGATAATAGATAGATAGATAGATAGATAGATGATGATGTGAACTGGCTGAGATAGATAGAAAGATAGATGTGAACAGACTGAGATAGATAGATAGATAGATAGATAGATAGATAGATAGATAGATAGATAGATTGTATTTAAGAGGAAGAGAAAAATGCAAGTGTGAGGGACGAGAAAGAGGAAGGCAATTGAAACTTAAGAAGATGAAATGACAAAGAGAGAGAGATGGGGCTACAAAGAAGAGAAATTGGAGATAGGGCAAAGGTGAAAGGGAGGCAAAGCAGCCTCTTAGAGAGAGGAAAAAAGCTAGAGAAGGCATTGTGGTGTAGATAAGAAAGTGTGAAAAGTTACAGAGGAAACGAAAGTGAGAGGGTGATAAAGAAAGTAATGCTGATATAGAGAGGGTATGAAAAGGTTAGGCGTAGTGAGAATCTAATAACTCTTTTCCTCTGTGTTGCCAAAGTGGCCTCTCCACCCGACATGCCTCTTTGCCCCCATGGGATGTCAGAGGTCGTCAGCCCAAAGGCGGGTCATTAATAATCACGTGCAACATTGGAGGCCCCGCTAAGTTCTCCTCAGCCGTGTTGTGTGCGCAAAACTCGATGCATTCCTTACTTCCTGGCCTAGGGCTTTCTTTCCACTCCTCATCTTTCTCTCTCTCTCTCTCTCTCTCTCTCTCTCTCTCTCTCCCCCCCACTGTATCTCATTTTCTCTCTCCAACTTTATTTAATCCTTCCTTTAGTTTTCTTTCTTTCCCCATCTTCTCTCCCTTCACACAAGTTTCTAATCTCTCTTTTGTAAAATTGGCTTCCCGGATCTTTTCAAAGTTATTCCTCTGAGCAATGTGTTCACCAATGAACTCTTTGACCCCTGCCATCACTTTTCTTTGGTCATGTGACACCATTCCTTTTTGTTCTCAATATTCAACGCCAGGGCATTCTATATTGCTTTTATCGTTCTTTATTTTTTGACTTCTTGTAGCGTTACACAAGTTCCTTTATCATTTCTATATGGATTTTGCCTTCCTCTTCGAAGCCATTAATCTTGTACTTTTTGAAGAGTTTGGATCTGAAGATGGGCTGTAGGGAGTTTGCTGTCACTTGTCCCGTCGAGTTTATTATTAGAAAAGATAATAAATTATCATTATTTCAATCAAGAACAGGCAAAAAAGATATGTCAGTTGATGTTGTCTCAGGTCATTGTAAGATTATTTAATATGAAACCTCATAAAAAAAATGAAAAAATCAAAAAGAAAAATCACTTTCTGTGGCACTGGTTATTGCTAGGGAACAAAACAAACCGCTGACAGGGAAATATGGTGAAACACTGGTTAATACGCTGATCCCCGTCCGATAAAAAATGGCAGAATTATTATTGAAAAAATAGAGCTACACATGGTATCTTCTAAGCTTAGCTTAGTTTAGTCCACAAGCACGGGGTACCCAAATGAAGCTCGAATTCACTATTTAATCGTAATGGTCAACCAGATAAACTTTCTAATAATTATCACAGATTGAGCTAAAGGGTTCAATTTTTATTAAAATATCATCCATGTCCTATTTGCCAAGCTTTACCTTGTAGCTGTCGTAACAGGACATAGTTGTCTTCAGCCATCAGCTGGCCTACAACTTGTCAACGCCTTTTTCAGTGGTTAATATTAATCACATGGTCTTAAGATTATATAGTGAATGTTAAAGGGCATTATTATTATTATTAATAATAATAATAATAATAATAATAATGATATCATAAATAAAATAAAATGATATTAAAACTTTGTTTAAAATATATTAATAAAACAAAAATAATAAAAGTCCTCCCAGAATGCAACAGAAACATTTCCTACCTGAAAACAGACGTCGCACAAAAAGAAGCTGACTTTAGTCTCTTCGCTAACGACCGTAGAAAAGTCAAGGCGTCCATCTTTTCTTCTCAGGACATTGCTTGTTACAATACGAAGTGATTTCGTCCTTTTATCCCATGCAACGGTAAAAAACACTTTTGACTAAAATACACACACAGAGCAGTACACAAAAATAAATAAAATTATATGATTTTAATTTACAATTTAAAATGCTTTTATTGTAATTTCCCTATATGTTTTTATTCCTGTGAACACAAGGCTATCCCTGCAGGTATGATGAGAGTGACCCCAAAAATGTTTAAAATGAAAATTCCCTTAATACCGACAGGTTACGGTATATCTATAACGACACACATACATATAACAACGTACATATAACCACACATATGTATATAACGACATACATATAACCACACACATACAATTATCCCAGACAGAGATATAGAATCCAAATTTCAATAAAAAGTCATATAAGTGCAATTTCCAAAACTTTACCTTTTAGCTGGTGTAGCAGAACATGCTTGTCTTCAGCCATCAGTGGGCCTTCACTTTGCTCATGCCCTTAATTCAATGGTGAATATTAATCATATACACCTAATATTATACAGTGAATGTTTAAAATAAAATTTCACCTAATACATATGGGTTAGACGGGGGCTACAGTCTCGCATCCATACTTACACATCAAAAGAAAAGTTCATTTATTTTAAGAAAAAATATATTGAAAGTGTACTAATTTCAGAATCTTCCACTCTAGATTGACGTCCAGGATCGTACAACATAACTATTTTCTTGGGCGAATTACTGCTCTTACAACGTGCGGTATTTAAAAATAATAGCGGTAAAAATAAAACTAGTTTATGCATTTGAATAGATTGGATGCTTAACATAAAAAAAGCTGTAGCTTCAGCGTTTCTCGATGTAGGATTCTACCAAACGTTTGTTGTATTTCTTTTCCCCATATATATATATATATATATATATATATATATATATATATATATATATATATATATATATATATGCGCATATCTCATTGAATACGACAGACAAGGTGCTTTGACTTAGTTTTTATACAATTTCTCATGCGATCTAATATTTTTTTTATTTTCATACTCACTCTCATCATTGCTCAATTAGATTTCATATAATAGCATCATCTACATGCAAAAAAAAACGCTAAAAATAATGGAAGCCTTATTAATGAAAACAAGAAAACAACACTTAATAATATCAACTATGAACATGAACACAATATCTTGACCGTGTCTTGAAAAATAAAAACACAATATAAATACATACATGCAACAAATTATTTCGTATTTAACAGTTAAAACATTTCATCCTTGCAAATGGCTAAATGTATAGCCGAAAGCGCTCGTATTAAAAGAACATTCGGACAGTTTTATATAATTTATCATCTGAAAAGAAAAAAAAGATATTAGATCGTGTGAGAAATTGTATAAAAAACTGAATCAAAGCACTTTGTCTGTTGTATTCAATGAAATGTGCATGAAAGGATTGCTGCCTAAATACACACACACACACACACACACACATATATATATATATATATATATATATATATATATATGAAGAAATATACTCTTAAATATACTAGCATGAAACAGACTGTCGTCTCTAAGTATTGACTTCAATGCTTCCTTCGAAAGTTGATAACTCTTCCCCTTTAAAGACAGCAAATTTTGTATACAGTGGTGCCATCCTAAATTTCCAGGAACCAGCTAACCTATTCTGCTTATTTTCTTTTCAATCTGAAAATGGAAACAAATCACTTTATAGTATCAAAAAGAATTAACCCATTATGATAATTTCATAGAAAACATTTATTTATTAAAATATTTCAAGACTGAAATTCTGTTCAGAAATAGGATGTTTTTTGATTCAAGTGTCATCAGTTGTGTTACGGTTTCTTAGCCACTTTTGAAATGAATTGCTGAAGTTCCAAAGATCCAATGGAAGAACTATCAAATTTATGACTAGTAGACATGCCACATTTCTAACTTCAAAATGGAAGGAGTCGTGTGTCTTTTAGAGTTTTACGGTTGTGAGGCATATTTATCGTTAGGAAGAAATTCTCGATTTCCAGGCCAATTGATATTAATTCACTGTTTAACAATTAACAGGCATATCAATAGAAAAAAGTATACTCACTAAAGGTAATATATATATATATATATATATATATATATATATATATATATATATATATATATATATGATAGAAACACAAACACATTCGCCAATAGGTATAACGTCCATACTAATAAGAAATAATTTAAAAAGTAAAACATAATTTATCTGTATCTATCTCTATCTATCTCTGTCTGTCTCTCTCTCTGTCTCTGTCTCTCTCTCTCTCTCTCTCTCTCTATATATATATATATATATATATATATATATATATATATATATGAAGAAATATAGTTTTAAGGTGTGCTATATTATGGGATAAAGTGCTTAATATCAGAGATAGAGCGTATGTAAATATAAATATAAAAGTGAACATTGAAGTCAACACTATATATATACATATATATATAGAGAGAGACAGAGACAGAGAGAGAGAGAGAGAGAAGGAGAGATAGTAATATCTCGCTCTCTCTCTCTCTTTCATATATATATATATATATATATATATATATATATATATATATATATAAAATACAGATAGATAAATTTTATGTTTTTTTCATCCGACATTATTTCTTATTACAATGAACGTTATTCTTAGTGGGTATATATATATATATATATATATATATATATATATGTGTGTGTGTGTGTGTGTGTGTGTGTGTGTGTGTGTGTGTGTGTGTGTGTGTGTGGGGGTGTATGAGGAATTTTCCAAATATTTTCACCTTCAGCATTTCTAATGACATGACAAGAGGTAACTATTTTTGCTTTATTTTATATTCTTTTTGTTTTTCTTTTTTGCACCACAGGCCGTCCTGGCCGTGGTTGTCTGCTAGCGAACTCCTTTTCCCGACGACCCTCAGCCAGCAGCCCAACATCTGACCGCTGTATACAAAGAGCTGTCATCATGGTAGATATTTTTCCAATAATCATAGATTTCCTGCGGTGCAATCTATTCCAAAGTCAAAAATTCAATAACAACACCATTCTTCAATTTCCGATTCTAATTTTCATCGGTCATCGTCAAATGTTTCTCTATTTTATTGTTTCTCAAATGTAAATCATGAGGAAATATTCAAATTCTATGGAAAAATATCGATGTAATTTCCTGGACCCCGAACTACGACCAGTCACGATGAATGGATGTAACCTCGGGGTGACCCTGTGTCTTGAGCGACTATTGGGTCTTAAACTCACTTCAAACCTCAAGTGGAACTCGTACATAGATGTATCGATAAAGATACAGAAAAATGGTCAATTTCTTCAACCGCTCCAGTAAGTACCTGGCTCTTTGTGCTTTCGTCTACTTTTACAAGAGGCAGATCAGGCATAAAATGGAGTACTGCTCTCAATAACTGCCCAGACCTCTCTCTGTCCAATGGTGTTTCCACGTCCTTGTCGCTGACAAATTATTTTCCATCCAGCAACCCTTCTCTCACTGACGAGATGTAGCAAGTCTTT